TTTGTATTTCAATTAAGGACTTTTCTATTTTTAACTTTTTTTGTTTGTTTCAAACTGCATACCTTCTTAGAGACAGTAACATTGCTAACCTATATTTTTATAGGTAAATTTTAGCTTATAAATTTAGATATAAAATTCAGTTTACACCCAGATGTGCTTAGATTTTAAGACAGAACATGCCTGGTACTAACAACTCAGAAAACACAGCACCAGACACTGAACAAAAGCATGAACATTCACGTTCTTTAAAAGCAAAGTAGCGAAGGTAGAGGGGGTGAGTGAGAGGGCTGTTCTCCACTTCCTATTTGCTGCATAAAAGAGCTATCACAAAGTTACAGAAGAAACCTTAGAGGTGTCTAATGTAAATCCAATTATGTGTTCGGAAACTGAGACCCAAGGTTGTATGGGGGAAAATTTATTATCAGAACAATGTTTCTTTTCTTTTTTACATAATTTTCTTTGGTAAATGAACTTTTGTTCTTCTCCACCCACACCCATAATTTTAGCCACAGTAGGAACTGATTCTCCACTCCTTTACTTTCTGTGATGCAAGTCATTTCTTCTCTAGGTTCCATGTCTTTTACTCTTAAACTATTTCCACTATACCACTTTGCTTCCCTTTCCTAGGTGAGATGCCTAATGCAGCTTCTGTGGCTTAGAATAAAACTATTTTATAAATGTAATGGCTAACAAATCTAAAAATACAAAATTGTATACATACCTTACTGCTCCTTAATACAGCTGGCAAGCTCCTACCTCTGGGTTTTTGTCATTTCCTCTGTTCATGAAGTTATTTTTCCCGATGGCCATATATTTCACTCACTTCCTTCAGGTGACTTAATGTCACCATATCAGAAATGTCTTCTCTAATGAACCTATATAAAACAGCAATTCTCCACTCCCCTTATTTTTTTTTTTATAATTTCACCACCTGACATATTAAGTACTTAATATCTATTTTTTTGTAGGTTAGAATATAAATTCCACACAGCTCAGACATTGTTTTATTTACCTGTGGTATCCCCAAGTGTCTAGGCCAGGGCCTGATAAAATAAACACTCAATAAATAAATGTTAAGTGAATGAATATTTACAGTGTATATGTGATAAAGGACAATAAAGAAACAGATAAGAACTGTTATATAACTGTTATATATGTAACAGCTGTTAGAATGACAAGAATTTTCAAGTTTTTTTCTTTCCCTAATTTTATAAATGTGTTTATATTACTTATTTTAGCATTATTTGAACTGTTTGGCTACAACAAATTACTGAGATTTTTAAGCAGTACTTATTTCAAAATGACTTTTAAAGATTTTTCACCTGAAGCCTTTTTTGTCAGACAGGTAGGTAGCTAGTTAGAAGAAATCTATTATAATCTCTCAATTCCCTAAGATACTATGAAAACATCTTCATAGAACTATATAGTTAAGATATCATTGCACTGATTTGGTAGTTAAGCAAGAGTGAATCTAACATTAAAGCAGTGAGGCAACACTGTAAGAGGAACTAAGTGTTATTTCGTGATTGATGAGTTTCCTTTTCCTCAATTAAGCAAATTTCCCTGCCATAGGGATCTGAGTCACTGAGGGTTCGCAACATGACCAGACAGTTGATTATGTGCTGATTCTATACAGTTAAGTCTGAGATGTTACAGAGAAAACTGATTTACGATTATCCAAGCCTGAAGAAATAGTTACATACAATAATTTGTGGATATTCACGTTCTGCTCTAGAAATAATGGGGATGGGTGACACTTTTTGTCCTTTATTTTAAAAACGTAATATACTATGCAACTATTATATGGATAGGCTTATAGGCTGTACTGATTTATTATAAAATTCATCAGACTGATCTATTTTCTCCAGTAGATGATTTTATAAAACATGCTTTTAAACCCCCAAGTTAGCTCAAAAACATTTTATCAATAATCCCCAAATGAATAGTACTGTACTCAGACCAACTGCTAAATTTAACAATAACCCAGTTCTACAGGAAAACACATTAAAACTTTACCTTGATGTGCTAGGAACAAAACTATCTATGCTGTGCTGGGAACAAAACTCAGCAGAACTAGGGAGAAGAGTAAAGAAAACAGGTCTAGGCTTCTGGGATTTGGGTTAGGTAAAGACCTGAGGTAGGAAGAGTCTTCTGAGTAATATAGCATGTCCTCCTTCCACACCCTGCCTCAGAGATTGCCCTGGGTACATCTCATTCTACTTCCTATTGCTTTTTAACATTTCCCTCCTCTGCCCAAGTGATGATCAGAATACGCAGTTTCATGGCTCGCTCTTCTGTTCTGCTGTTCCTTAAGGACACAGGCCTTTTTAGTAAAGTTTTCTCTGCTCCCACTCACCTAAATGTACCAAATGTTAACAGGCTTTTTCCCAAGTCAAAGTAGATGCCTTGGAAGAAATCAAAGTTGTCATTGTCAAAAGAGAGCTAAAGAAATCAATCATATTTTCAAAAGGTTGTACAACATGACAGATATTTGGGATTAATACCTAAAATAAAAGAATAATTTGCTGTGAAATGAATACCAAAGTGTTAAACATACCTCAAATTTATGTCAAATGAGTATCATCTGCATACTGGCTCTCTTTTCATCTCACTAAACACAGTTGATTGCAAGGTTATACTGCCAGCTTTTTACATATTAATAACAAAAATATATTTGGTACAATGTACCAACATACTTTATTTAAACACTTTATTGTTATCTTCAATCTTTATAATAATACTTTGAAGTTAACTACTACTGTCTCAATTACTGATAAAACAAAAACTCAGGGAGGTTGAAGAAATCTGCTTAAGGTCACATAACTAAGTAAATTGTGTAATAAGTCTCTGACTCCAAAATCCATGAGCTTACACATGTATACAATTTGCCTTCTATACAACTCTACAGACAATGCAGGTACAACCTGTCCAAAAACAAACCCCTATTCTTTTCCACACATCTACTTCAACTAGATTTTCTTTTTTTTTTTTTTTTATATCTAACATTTAACCAACCAAGACTAACTAACTATCTAGAATCTAACCACATCTTTCCTTAGGACTTGCCACAATCTCAGTCAAAAGACGGAACTACAGAAAAGACTAAAGCTCAAGAAGTGTCCTTGCAAATATGCTTTATAATTAAGTTTATTCTCTTGATAAGATATAGCTAATTGAAATGGCAAAATAAAAGACTCAGATTCCAAAAATCAGAGTTAATGCAAGCAACATTTGATGTTATCAAATTCGAACATCTGGGATAATCTATTTGAGTTAAAATTCTTATAACAAAATATAACTTATTTCCTATATCCTTTTCCAGCTTTTCATTCCACCCTGGACACTGGCTAAACACCACATTTAGTGATGCATCTGTAGCAATCCTCTTTCATTTAAAACACTAACCTACTTGTTTACCTGAGTATTTCTGAAAATTATGTCACCAACACCAACCACTCATTTTATACACCAATTCTAAGTACCTTTTTTCTTCTAAAGAAATTACCACAACATAAGAAAGACGTAGGTAGCCCTTCCTCATTCACCTTCTAAGGATTTTATGACTTAAAGCTCTTTAGAAAAATACCTAATAATACCTTGTCATAGTTACAGTGTTTTCTATTTTAAGGTATTTTCGTATCTACTATTTCTTCCTTCAGCAGCCAAGTAAAGCAAGCTTTATAGTTTTTATTCTCAGACTGGAAAATTTCTCAGACACATTGTCACTTGGCCTGAGTCACGAGGGTGTTATGTAGAAGAGCCAGGACCAAATATTAAACGCAGTGACTCCTCATTCATTGCTCTTTCTACTATACATCAATGACTCTGCTAAAAAAAAAAAAAAAAAAAAAAAACTATATAATGCAAATAAGAATTATCCTAGGAAATAAAATTTATCCTTCCTTAAAATTCCTCAACCATTAATTAATCTATATGGACAGACAAAAATGGACACTGCCATCGACTCATAGTGACCTCTCCTTGGGTTTCTGAGGTGGTATCACGATGGAAGTAGATTGCCCAACCTTCCTTCCGAGAGTGGCTGGTGGGTTTGAACCGCCAACCTTCTGGTTAGCAATCAAATGCCCCAGGCACTATGCCACCAGAGTTCTCTAATTAATCTTTATTTATTATATATAAAGGAGGGAGAAAGTAAGTAAGGTACAACTAAAGAATACTAGCAAAATTCAACTATTCAGAATGTCTATGTAAAAAATGTCCAAAGAAAATAATAAATATTTATTTTCTTATTAGAGCCAAAGGAAGTAATAATTCATAGAAATTAAGATTAAATTGCTACAAATAATTTAACCACATTGTAGCTGGGTAACATAAAACCCCAGATAATAAAGATAACCATGACAGAGAAATGAGCTGCAGAAAGCATGCACAGAGAGGGCATGCTTTCATTTACAATAGCATGCTTCAATTAAATTTGCAGGCAATCTAAGGAGAGTGTAAAATTGATATATAAAACTTACCTACTATGTAATTAAAATAAAATATACATTTATAAAAAGTATGTTCTCCTTTTTTGGTCAGAACAAGCCAACAACAGCAAGTAGCCAGAAATTACCATTAATATAAAAGAAATATTTAAGAGGAAATGGATTTGCGAGACTCAATATATCTTCAGTCTTAGCTTCAAGAAATGAGTGATTATTTGCAATGAAGTTGGCAAGACAGGAAATTGAGTTAAAATTTATCAATCTTTTAAATGGCTTTTCTGAGTACAACTTTTTTTAAAGGGGAAAAATTCCTTTAGTAGTCTACACCTCTTTGTAGTAATGTATTTACTTCTACTATTCACCTTGAATCTTCAGATCTTACAGAAATAAAATAGATTATTTTTTAAGGTAGTCAAATTCATTAATTCAAATTACCATGACATTTCCTTTTATTAAGAGGAAAGTTGGGGAAGTCTAAATAACGAAAAGCCAAATAAGAGATCCAGGAAGAAATTAACTTAGAGGGCAACCAACTGTGTAGCTTATTCTTACCTTGGCTGTTTTTTTCGCGGGTTGACATTTTTGCTGGTTGAGACAAAAATGACATGTCTTACAATAAAACCTGGGCATTTTCTTAAAGTAACTATAGTAACACACATCTCCTTGATTAATATGAGCTAATAAATAACACTGAACTAAAATAAGTCAACATTCTTATCAATTATCAACAAGAATTAAATGTAGAAAAGCAAGATAAATAAAATTTTTAAAAGGTATCTAATTTACCTTGGTTGATGATGACATCTTTATGCCTAAAAAAGGAATTTAAAGAACATATTTATTTTATAATTTTATTTGGCTGACCACTAAAATCACCTGAAGAAACTCAAAGCTTCTATGCCTAGGCTACATCCCAAGCAAATTGCTAAAAGTGAAATCAAGGCATAAGTACTTTTTAAAGTCTCTCTCATTGGTCTCAACCAAGAACACAACACTGTTTTGAAAAACAGTGACTATTCCTCTATAAATTCACTAAGCAGTGAAAGCACAGAAAAAACTTTTGAATAATAATAATGCTCAAATCTCATGGTATCATGAGATTTATTATTTGAATAGGAGAGCATTAATAGGAAGATACAGCTTTCTTAGAAGACTTAAAAGAAAAAGATACAAATTAAATTATAATAGTTTAAAAAAATAAAATCCAAACCAGGCATATAACTGCACACACAGAGTCAAAGAATTGTTAATTTTTAGACAAAACTGAAGTATAATACTTGCCTTTACTTCTATAACTTTGATACTAATTTTTAAAATTTACTGTGCTAGAATATATATAACATAACATTAGCTATTTCAACCATTTTTAAATGTATACTTTAGTGGCATTATTTACATTCACAATGTGTGTAATCATCACTATTATTTATTTCTAAAACTTTTTCATCACCCCAAATAAACTCTGTACCCTAGTATCATGCAGTAACAATTCATTTCCCTTTATCCCAACCCTGGTAATGGCTAATCTGCTTTCTGTCTCTATGAATTTGCCTACTGAAGATACAAAGATAAACATACAATCACAGTATTTGTGCTTTGTGTCTGGCTTATTTGATTTAGCATGTTGTACCATGTACTAGAACTTCATTTATTTTTATGACTTAATATTCCATTATATGTACAATACCACATTTTGTTTATCCATTTATCTGTTGGCAAACACTTAGGTTTCCACTTTTTGGGTGTTATGAATAATGGTAAAGAACACTGGTCTCACTCTCTGCTTTCAGTTCTTTTGGGTATATAACTAGAAGTAGAATTGTTAGATATGATAATTCTAGGCTTAACTTTGTGAGAAACCAACAAACTGTTTTCCACAGTGGCGGTACCTTTTTACATTGCCACAAGCAACCCTCAAAAACTTAGGGTTCCAATTTTTCAGCACTCTCACCAATACTTTTTTTTTTTTGGATAAGAGGTATCTTAGCAGGTGTGAAGTGGCAGATCACAGTGGTTTTGATTTGCCTTTCTGTAATGACTAATAATGTTGAGCATCTTCTCATGTGTTTATTGGTCATTTACATACTTTCTTTGGAGAAATGTTAATTAAAGATCTCTGTTCATTTTTAAATTGTTAATCTGTCATTAAAAAGATTAACTGTTTAATCTTTTTTGTTAAGTTGTAAAAATTCTTTACATATTCTAGATATTAAATCCTTATTAGAATAGTATATAATTTGCTAATATTTTCTTATTCTGAATGCTATCTATTCACTTTCTTAATAATGTCATTTGATGCACAAAAGTTTTAATATTGATGAAGTCTAATTTATTTATGTTTTCTTTTCTTCTTTGTATTTGGTATATCTAAGAATCCACTGCCAAATTAAAAGTCATGAAGATTTACCCCTATGTTTTCTTCTAGGAATTGGGTGGTTTTAGCTCTTTAGGTCCTTGATGCATTCTTATTTTTGTATATGGTGTGAGGTAGGAGTCCAACTTCATTCTTTTGCATGTGCATATCCACTTATCCCACCACCATCTACTGAAGAGACTTTTCTTTTGTGGCACCCTTGTTGAAAATCAATTGGCCATAGATGTATGGGTTTATTTCTGGACTCTCAATTCTATTCCACTGGTCTATATACGCACTACCGTCGAGTCAGATCTGACTCACAGTGACCCCTCCTTGGGTTTCTGAGGCGATATTACTACGAAAGTAGATTGCCCAACCTTCTTTCCGAGGAGTGGCCAGTGGGTCTGAACTGCCAGCCTTCTGGTTAGCAGTGACATGGCTTATGTACTACGCCACCAGAGCTCCCACTGATCTATATAGGTATCCTTTATCCCAGTACCACACTGCTTTGACTCCTGTAGTTTACTAGTAAGTACTAAATCAAGAAATATGACTTCTCCAACTATGTTCTTTTTAAAGATTGCTTTGGCTACTCTGGATCTGGCTACTGAGGATTGAGGCTATTAAAGCCGGCTTTTCCATTTCTGTACAAAAGATTTAGAATTTTCAAAGGGGTTGCACTGAATCTGTACATTGCTTTTGGTAGTAATGACACCTTAAATCATTCTTGACATAGTAAGTTTTCCAAATCATGAACGTGGATATCTTTCTATTTATTTAGGTCTTCTTTAATTTCATTCAACAATGTTCTATAGTTTTCAGTGTACAAGTCTTTCACCTCCTTAATTAAATTTACTTTAGATATTTTAATTTTTAGATGCTATTGTAAATGGAACTGTTTTCTTAATTTCCTATTCTAATTGTTATTTTCTAGAGCATAGAAACATAACTGATTTTTGTATTCCGATTTTAGTAATTTTGATGTTGATGTTGCTCTCTATAATTTATTATTATTATCAACTGAATTTTCCCATAAATAAAAGCCTTTTAGCAGGTGGCTATAATTTTGTGCTACAAAAAACACTAATTTCTTAGAGAAAAATTTTGTAACAATGACATGTAATTTGACAGTTTAAAGACAACATAAAGTAACACCTAACATTTCCTTAAAGCTAATTTAAAAACAGAAGAAAAAAATTAGTTGAAAGGTTCTTCCTGGATGAGTGAAGGCATTTAACAAGGCAATTACCAAATCTGTATTATAATTGTCACTATTATTTTTAAAATTCATTAAGACAAACATTACTTGAAAAATATCTGTACTTTTTATTGTTAAAGAAAAATTTCTTATCGTTTAATCTCTGGATTAATAATTCTTATAATTTATAGTTACAAAAACAACTACACTTTTTTACAGTCACTGAATTACTAGGCCTCCACTTTTTCTTATGTCTTCATATAATCAAATTATATATAGCACAAATGATGATTTCTAAATAAATTACAGGACTAAAACTTTTGTCTATGATTATATATAATTTTATCACTGATCTGAAGTAAACAAGATACAAGACTATGATATTATAAAAAATGATTTCCTAAATTTATAATTGAAAATTTTAAATTAATAGATTTTGGGGGGCTGCATTGCTAACTACCCTACAACTCATCCAGTCTTTAAAACATCATGCAACAATAAATCCAAAGAGTAATTTAGAATGGCAAGCACATTTCCAGGAACCCTTAAGATGCTGAAAAAAAGATCCTGGAACTAAGAAGATATCAAGTCAAATCAGAACCTTAAAGAGACTATTATAAAAAGTCATCTTTTATCCAAGCAAAAAGCAAAGTTGCAAAGCGATTAATAGGCTATATCCAAGGAAAATTTCATGAGACCAGGCAGAGGAATTATAAACCATTTAGACAGAGTTAAGAATCTGTGGGCGACACAAAGACAAAGCATTTTGTAAATGTTAAACATGCGTCAATCAGATGAAGGGTGTTTTGCTTTCCAAATTTCCATTAGAGAACAGGCAAAACATTAAACTGATGAAATAAATAATACTTCTAAACCTTTTCAGAATGACTGTCATTTATTTTGCTAAAATCCTAATAAATTCTTAAATGGCTTAATATTTTCCTAAGATTTCCAAATTATGAAAATAAAATAACTGATAGTAAAGCTTACATCAGCATTTCCAAAACAGTCACATATCATAAAATTGGCTCAAATATTTGATTACAAGGCATCTGTCAGCATTTCTGACAGCTAACTTGGGTAAGTTATGATTCTCAGTGGTTTCGACTGGTTGCTGTTCCATAATGTAATATAATCACATCACTGTCCATAATATGATCTGATGTGATCAATCAATCAACTGAAAGGGAAGTTTCCTTAGGGATATAGTCTGCTTCCAGAATATAAATGGATATTCTGGTAGAGCTCACTCTCTCTTGACCCTGTATATTTCTCATCACATGACCTCCAGTTCCTGAAACGTTAAGCCTGCAGAAGTCTCCCGCCTGTCACCTGACCTGCAGATTCTGGATTCATCAATCCTAGCAAATACGGTGAGCCAATAGAGATCTCCAGCCTGCTGCCTGATCTATGGATTTGGGACTTGTCAGCTTTACAACTGTGTGATCCATTTCCTTGAAGTGAATTTCTCTTTCTCTCTATACATCTCACTAGTTTTGCTCCTCTAGAGAACTCAACTTAGACAGCACTGAACTTCCAGCATGCAGGTTTAGATCCCCAATTTAGGACCACACACGTTAGAGTATTTCTCCCTTCTCCCTCTCTCATAACTTTAAAATACTAATTATTACAGACACAGAGAGAAGCCCTCAAGCAAGCCCTCAGCATAGAAAAGATCAGATGACATAGATTCATTTCTCTACTCCAGCAAGAACTTATTCTCCCAAAACCCAAAATTGAAACTGAGATGAAGCCATAATGAAGAGCCATTTGTTGAGAAGAGCCCTTGCAAGCTGAAGGTTGTAATGGTGCCAAAATATGGTGAGGATAATTAAATACAGCAATTTTGTATCCACGGTTATATATTTATTCATAGTTACATAAAAACTGAAAATGTAGTCTATAATCTTATTATGAAAATGTTCTGTTGTGGTTTTAGAAGAGCTTATTTTACCTGTCTTTTATCAGATTAAGTTTATAACTTAGTTTGATTATTTTTTAAGGTCTTAATTGAGAAATTTTGAATATAATCTCATTTCCAAATGTGCTAAAATAAAGATCACAACAACAAAGAAGAAGAAAAAACGCCACCAGGCTTTTTTCTCAGAACTCATGGATAGCTAACTTTTTCCCAAGTCACAGAATTTAGGTACCATTACAACCATTCTCTAGCTCTGTACTCAGGGACAGTTAAAACCTTTTGGTGGGAGTAGAATTCTTGCTTTCTTGAGTTTGTCTGTGTATTTGGAGAGGCTGTGAAGAGGGCTGGGGAGAAGGTGATGCTCGAATTTGTGGACTTTGATCATTAGAGTGAGATTCCTCTTTTTTCTCTCTCTGTCCTTGTGGTTTTTCTTTCTTTTTTTCTGTACCGCTGTAAAATAAAGTATAACATGGAACAACACATATTTAAACAAGCGAAAAACATAAATCAAATGATGGAAAAATGATAATTATATAATTAAAAATCCTAAGTCATATATAGCTAATACAATTTTCACTGGTTTTACTCAATAATGAAAATAAATTTCTTTGAAAATTCTGGAAGCTATTAAAATCTTCCATGAAGAAGTTATAGGAATTCTTAAGCAATAGATCCTATGTAGACACCACTTTAGACTGAAATGGCTTCTAAAGCATTTTGTCATCTTAGCAGATTTTGGGAGACAACAGAAGCTCTCTTAACTGACCTCAATTTACCTAAATCGAAGGATTAGCGACATTTTCCATTTCTTTCTTTAAAATATACTAATGCCCAAGGCCCACTACATGCTCCTGTTTAGTGAGTTATTCTCTAGTTAAGTCTCCTATTGCTCTTATAAACTTCTGCTCCCACCAGCTGACTTTAAACTTAACACTAGTCAGCTGTCTTTACTTCCAATCCTGTTTATGCCACTTGTACTTATTTTAATTATGTAAGTTAGTTAAGTTAAAAAGAAATAAAATATACAAGAAAAAGAGAATTATAATTGCTATGGAAACTAAGTTGAATGTTCTGGAAAAACTCCATTAAGAATGAATTACTAAAAAAACTGCCATCAAATTTGGGTTCAGTAAGACAATAAAAAAAGGCTGAGAGAAAACATCATAGAAAGAGTCCTAACTCAAATTGTGTTGTGAGTTTTAAATGTCTAACTTTGTTTTGATAAATGAAACTAAAAATTATTTTTAAATGATTTGTGGGTGTATTTGATGTAAGACATTCAACAAGGAATCTGATCAGAGACTCAACTCTGCAAAGAAAAGGTGTAGGAAGTTTGGCTTTTCATAAAAATAGACAAATGAACACATATAAATATACATTTATGTTATCATTTTTTAAATTCTATGCTTTGATATGTGATAAATGAACTGACATTCCCATCACATTGGATAAAGAATGCTTCTACTGCACAAACATTCTTGAAAATATTACAAAGCAAATGAAATCAAAATTTGAATTCCAGGTTGAAAAGGCAAAAAACTATCAACTGTTTATACGTCTTAATTCAAAGCACATTTTATAATTTGACTATAAAATACACAATGTATAAGGAAGTGTGCTCAAGAACATTTTAAACAAATACACATGGTATACACAATTTAACTATTTCATTGTAATGGATGAAAATGTTACAATACAATTTTGAGTGTGACATTTCTTAATCCGACTTGATTCTGACAGGTAACTTTAAACTGGCCCTTGATTATTTCATGTTCAATTTTATTTAAAGCATATGCTAAAAAATACAATTCTATCTTCAATATATCAGATTAACTTTGAAATTTAAAAAGACAAAAAAAAGTTAAGTTTTTTTTCTTTTTGGCATTTCAACTATCCTGAATGCATAAGCCACTATTTTCATGTGGGTCCAGTTCAACCTAGAACATATTTTCCTCTTACGTTGTTAAAAAGCAGAAAACAAGAGTTCCTGCATCATGAGGTAACGAACTTAGCTGGTCTTAGATTTTTGCTAGTCTTATAGATTATGCATAATACCAATCACAGTACACAATTAGAGCTATGTAAGACAATGGGCTGGATCTGGACTATTACTGGGTAAAACATGGAAGTTTACTGACAATGACAATGATTTCAAAGACTGAATTCTAGAAGAGATTTAAAAAATACCTAAAGATCTTATCATTTCTTCACTATTCCGTAGTCAACTGTTTGGTTAAACATTTAAATCCACACTGAAGAATAGTTCCATCACCGACATTAGCTTATGGAGGTAGCCATTTTCTATCAGTATATTGTTAAGTATCATTCTATTACTTAAGGTTTTTGATGTTTAAGGTGTTTCCCCATTCTCTGAAGAAAATAATTGTAAGATTAAGAAAATACTGTAAGATTATGTAATCTTACATATAGCCTCTCCAAACTCTATATGGAATAATCTGCTAAGAATTACACAAAAGAGGAAAATTCTATAAACAATTTTAATGGAACAATAGATCTCATTAATTAGTTCATGAAAAGAACATACAGAATCCAAATCTGTAACTACTAAAATTTTCATATTACAGTATTTCTACTGCATCCTTGCCCACCATGCCCAAACAGAAGCACATGCATAAAACCAAACCCACTGCCATCTAGTCAATTCTGACTCATAGCAACCCCCACTGAAGTTCTAAGGCTGTAAATCTTTATGGAAGTAGATTGCCTCATCTTCCTTTTGTGGAGTGGCCAGTGGGTTTGAACTGCCAACTTTCTGTTGGCAGCCAAATGTATATAACACAATACTAGTATTTTGAGTTAAGCTTTGATTTTATAAGTCATGCTAAAGAATTTAAAAAGTGTAACATTTAATCTCCCAATACTGTTGATATATATGGCCAAATCCAGTTTCATTTTTAACCCTTTCATGACCAACAGGACATACAGCATCTACTGACATTTTCCTCCTCTGGGGTTTACTGGGCAACTGTCAGAAGGTGACTTGTATAACTGTTTCAAATAGAATAGCATGTGCTGCAAATTACTGTTTTTAAAAGGTATTGTATGAGGTGAGACACATCCTGGAGGTGTGATTTTGCAAGACTTTTTCGTCTCTTTTACTGAGAAGTCAGTCTTGTGAATATATTTCTGGGTTCTTGTGCATTACTTGGAAGCTGCCGTTCTTGCAATGTTTCCATGTGCATATGAATACTGAATTTTCAGATGCCCTAAATTGTGTGCACCTGTCAAGGGTTCTAGAAGGTGGTGCAGAGTCCAGAGGGACATATATGTCCTACACTGTATGCATCAAAACCTGTATTTTATAACAAAATTTCAGAAATGCTCCTTGATTCACAGCATGCCTTCCATTAATGAAAACATATGGTGTCAACAAAAAATTTAAAGTGGGAAATAATTGGGTCATGAAAGGGTTAAAATGCTGTATCAAACATTAAATAAACTCCATCAATAAATATTTATTAAAAAGAAACAAAACAAAACCAAGTAATGAAATTACTTTCCTTCTTTTAGGCAGAACCAAAAGTCTCCTCACACAACTCATAAGGTACAATGAACACAAACTGAAAGAGGTAGGTTGGATATCTCTACATTTTGAGTTAAAAAATTCAAAGGACAGACTCACTTGGATTCCACACAACTCTATTTCATATTCTTTACAGAAGCGGACTGATTTATCAACTCATACAATTTTGCAATATTAGCTTTTTTATCTCTTATAAATAGGTACCTTTTAGCAGCAGATGAAAAAGTTTCTTTTCTTGCAATTGAGACAGAGCTGGTATGAGTTGGTTTTCTGTTTCCACCACTGCCATTGGTTATACAGGACATAGAAATAGCTTCTCGAAGGCTTGGCTGGCCTAAAGATGGTTAAGAAAAAAAAAATCTCTATCAATCTTCAAAATATTTCTCAAATACTGGAGTTCTGAAGTTCAGTCCATTAACGTTTAGAACTAGTAAGCAGAATGCCACCATGGCATGCAGCATACAATATTACTGTCTCAAGATTTGATCTTATCAAAACAGAACTTCAGAAAAGCCACAAGTTGCTAAATTGTAGCTAGATTCATTCTCTAGCTAAATAGTTTGTCTTCCACACCTTACCAAATTTTAAAACACATGATTCAAGTCCTCAAGTAAACCACAATCCCCACATGTCATGGACCTTCAGAGGTATCTCAGATACTCCTGAAACCATAAATGTTAAATCCTGGAATATTACCAGACACAAAAAAAGCATACCTATAAAAAGTAACCTCTGCTTTATTAATTTATAATAGTAGAAGAGTTGGATTAAATGTGTGATGGGTATATTTGTGTAAGACTTAAAGTCATAGGCAATCATACTGACTAAAGGTCAAATTTTTTAAAGATTTGGGAATAGTAAATATTTTTTAATTTTTGGACCCTGTTTTCTCACACGCACACACAAGTAAAATGGCCTATCTCACGTTTGTTTCTCTTTATAAAAATCCAGATGATGTAAATCGTTATGTATAAGGACTAACATATTTGGCACAGTAGAGTATTCCAAACATGGTGGTATCAACTGCATTTTACAAGAATAGGTATGTTGAGGACCACTTGTACCATAATCACCTATGGTGCTTCCTTATATAGTGATTCCTAGCCCACCAGCCACTCCTCAGAAGGAAGGTTAAGCAATCTACTTCCGTAGTAATACTGCCTTGGCAATCCAAGGAGAGGTCGCTATAAGTCGAGGCCGACTCTATGGCACATAACAACAAACAACAACAACAGACCATACTTCAGGCCTAATGAGTCAGAAAAGAGGAAGGAGGACACCTATTACATTTATTGTTTCAAACTTCCTAAAAAAATTTCCACTTACTACGCTGTCATCAGATCTAGTTCCAATCAGCCAGAGATTACATCTTGCTGTAGAGAGAGCTGTTTTTTTTTTTTTTTGTAGCAAAATACACATATTAACCATTTACAAATGTATAATTTAGCATCATTTAGTATATTCACAATGTTGTGCAACTTCACCACTACCCAGATCCATAACACTTACATCACTGCAAACAGAAACCCTGTGCCCATTAAGTAGTCACTATCTCCCTTCCACATCCACCTTTGGCAACCACTAATCTGTTTTCTTTATCTACAAAAAGAGAGAGAGAGAGAGAGAGAGAGAAAAAAAAAAACAAAACAAACGCACTGCTAATGAGTCAATTCTGACCCATAGTGACCCCCCTTCTGGGTTTCCACAGTGGTAAAACTTTATGGAAGTAGATTGCCTCATCCTCCTTCTGCAGAGCAGCTACTGGGTTTGAACTGCGAACCTTGAGTTTTTTATTCCATTTATGGATATATTACATTGTGTTTATCCATTCATTAGTTGATGGACATTTAGGTTATTTTCATCTTCTGGCTATTGAGAATATTTAGCTCTGAACATTCTGTACAAGTTTGTTTGAATACCTAGGAGTATATGCCTAGAAGTAGAATTGCTGGGGCATAAGGTAATTCTGTTTAACTTTCTGAGGAGTCACCAAACTGTTTTACACAGAGGCTGCACCATTTTACATTCCCACCAGCAATGAACAAGTGTTTCAAATTCTCCACATCCTTGTCAACACTTTTCTGTTTTGTTTTGTTCTGAATTAGTCATTCCAGCAGGTGTGAAGTGGTATCTCATTGTGCTTTTGATTTCCAGTTCTCTAATGACTAATGGGAGTCATAGGTGGTACACACAGTTAACATACTTGACTACTAAGCAAAAGGTGGGAAGTTTGAGTCTACCCACAGATTCAATGGAAGAAAGGCCTGGTAATCTACTTCTGAAAAATCAGCCACTGAAAACCTTACACAGTTCTACTCTGATACACATGGGATTGCTGAGTTAGAGTTGATTCACCAGCAACTGGTTAATAACTAATGGCATTAAGAACATTTTAATGTTCTGATTAAAACCAAAAATCAAACTCACTGCCATCAAGTCAATTCCGACTCCCAGCAACCCCTACTGGGATTCCGAGGCTGTAAATCTTTATAGAAGTAGATTGCCCCATCTGCTTCCACAGAGCAGCTAGTGGGTTTGAACCGCTGACCTTCTGGTTAGCAACCAAATGACTTATCCACAGTACCACTACAGCTCCTTAATTTTCTTATAGTCCATTTGTGTATCTTCTTTGGGGAAAAGTCTATTTAAGTCCTTTGACCATTGTTTATTTGGTTGGTTTGTCTTTTTGTTGTTGACTTGTAGGAGAAAAGTTCTTTATATATTCTGGATATTGAACCTTAATCAGATATGATTTGTAATTATTTTCTCCTATTCTATAGACTGTCTCTTTACTCTCTTGGTGTCTTTTGATGCATAAAGGTTTTACATTTTGATGAAGTCCGATTTATCTATTTTGTTGTGGTGGTGGTTGCTTATGATTTTGGTGTCCTATCTGAGAAACCAATGCCGAATGCAAGGTAATGAAAATTTATACCTATGTTTCCTTCAAAGAGTTTTATAGCTTTAGCTCTTATACTTAGAGCTTTGATCAACTATGAATTAGTTCTTATGCAGCCATACCTCATTGTATTGAGCTTCACTTTACTATGCTTTGCAGATACTGCATGTTTTTCAAATGGTAAGTCTGTAGCAACCCTGGGTCGAACAACTCTACTGACACCATTTTTCCAGGAGCATGTGCTCACTTTGGTGGCTCTGTGTCCCATTTTGGGATTCTCACAATATTTCAAAGTTTTTCTTAATGCTATTGCACACTTAACAGACTAAAGTATAAGGTAAATACAACTTTTACATACACTCAAAAACCAAACTCACTGCCATCTAGTCCATTTCCACTCACAGCAACCCCAACTGGGTTTCCAAGGCTGTAAATTTTTACAGAAGCCGACTGCCTCATCTTTCTTCTACGGAGCAGCTGATGGGTTCGAATCGCTGACCTCCTGGTTAGAAGCCAAATACCTTAACCACTACACCACCAGAGCTCCTTTTTACATGCACTGTTGTTGTTGTTGTTATGTGCCATCGAGTCGGCCCCGACTCATAGCAACCCCTCCTTGGGTTTCCGAGGCAGTATCACTACAGAAGTAGGATTGCCCAACCTTCCTTCCGAGGAGTGGCTAGTGGGTTTGAACCGCCAGCCTTCTGGTTAGCAGTCAAGTGCTTTAGCCACTATGCTACCAGAGCTCCTTTTTACATGCACTAGGAAACAAAAAAATTTGTGTGACTCGCTTTGTGATATTTGCTTTATTGCTATAGTCTAGAACCAAATCCGCAATATCTCCAAGGTATGCCTGTAATATGAGCAAAAAGGTCCAACTTCATTCTTCCGCATGTGGATACCCAGCTGTGAAACACCATTTGTTGAAGAGACTTCTTTCTCCATTGAATGGGTTTGGCACTCTTGATGAAAATCAATTCACCACAGACATGAGTTTATTTGCATAAATGCCCTTTACTATACTGGGGAATTTCCTGTCTTTTTCCAGTTTGTGAGTGTTTTTATCATGACATGGTGGTGGATTCTGTCAAATGTCTTTCTGAATTAATTTAAATGACTGTGTGCTTTTCCCACCTTCATTCTATTAATGGAGTGTATTACACTGATTGATATGTTGAACTACCTTTGTATTCCTGGGATAAATCCCACTTGGTCATGGTTTCTAATCCTTTCAATATGCTGCTGGATTTGGCTTACTGGTACTTTGTTGAGGATTTCTGCATCTATAATCATAAGGGATATTGGTGTACAGTATTCATTTTTAGTGATGTCTTTGTTTAGCTCTGGTTATCAGGTAATGTTTGCCTCGTTGTTGTTGTTGTCGTTATGTGCTGTCAAGTCAGACCCAACTCACAGCGACCCCTCTTAGGTTTCTGAGGCATTATCACTACAGAAGTAGATTGCCCCATGTTCTTTCCGAGGAGTGGCTGGTGGGTTTGAATCGCCATCCTTCTGATTAGCAGTTATGTGCCTTAGGCACTACGCTACCAGAGTTCCTCAGGGAAACCAAAAACCAAACCAAACTCACTGCCGTCAAGTTGGATCCAACTCATAGTGACCCCTCCCTTGGGTTTCTGAGGCAATATCATTATGGAAGTAGATTGCCCAATCTTCCTTGCGAGGAGTAGCTGGTGGGTTTGAACCTCCAGTCTTCCGGTTACCAGTTATATGCCTTAGTCACTACACTACCAGAGCTTAGAAATTATTCTATTTTTCTTTTTCTTTCTTTTTTTTTTGGAAGAGTTTGAGAAGGACTGCTGTTAATTCTTTAAATATTTGGAAGAATTTGTCAGTGAAGTCATCTGATCTTGAGCTATTCTTTTTTGGGGTATTTTTGACTACTGATTCAATCTATTTAGATTTACTTGTCTATGTAAATTTTCTATTTCTTCTTGATTTTGTGTTGTGTTATGGTTTGAACTGTGTCCCCTAAAAGGTTATGCTGCGAAGTTCTAACCCATATATTTGTGAATGTGACTGTTCGGGAAAATACAATTTCACTTTTGTTATGTTTAGAGGTCATCCGAGAGTAGAGTGGAGCCTAAACGTATCTTTCTGAGTAGGGTCTTACAAAAAAAGGAAAACAGGATATGGAGAGGGTGAAGACACCATGGTAATACTATGCATATAGAAACCTAGTACCACCAAAGGCTGTGCTGTTGGAAGTTCTAGAAGCTGAAAGAGACAAAGGAGGACCTTTCTCTGGAGCTGATGCACTGAATTCAGACTTCCAGCCTCTTGAACTGTAAGATCATGAACTTCTATTCTTTAAACCTTTAATACTTGTGGTATTTTTGTTACAGTTGCCCTAGAAACTTAACAGTGCATTTTCTAGGCACTTGTGCACCTAAATAAAGGTTTGTTAATCCTGTTGA